ATGCCTTCTGCCTGCCTTTTAGTCAGATTTATAAATCCCCTATGTAAACTTTGACTTTACATGGAAATTGATTTCTAATCTCTTTATAGTATATAAGGTACAATGCTGTCAAACTATGAATATATCATTTTTTTTTTAAAGATTTTATTTATTTGTGCATACAGAACTGGGGTACAGGCCAGAGGCTCAGGGGCGGCTAGAGGCTTCACCAGAGACAGAGTGGGGAATAGAACAGGCAGATCAATGAAGTACACTGCTGAGGGGAGCAGCGGGCGGGTCAGGAGAGGTCTGCCACGCCATGTGGTCACCTCGGGGGGCAGGCGGGAATCGAACTCATGTGGAAGTGGTTTTAGCTTCTCAGTGCTGTGCTTTAACCCGCTGCGCCACCAGGGAGGGCTGAATATATCATTTTTAGAATATTTTCAGCTGTTGAATACACTTAATTCAATAAAACTTTAAAAAGTTACATTGTATCAATAATTTGACAAACTGCTACATTTATCTTACACTTGTAACTGGTAAATATTGCATTTTCTTCTTATGTTATCTTTACTATGTTGGGCAATAAATGGCCGAATTGTAATCAGTAGTGTGCCATGTTGAGTAGAGTAAGGGTTCAGTAGGTTTGTGTTTCTCGAATAGTTTTCACACTACAAATGTCAAAGGAAAATCACTTTTGTCTCACTAGATGTGTAGTATATTCTAGTTGCTGTAGTTGCTGTAGAGAAAGCTGAAAAATTATCCCTTAAGAGTTAGATCTGAAAACATTTGGGGGGAATTAAACAGCTAGAGGAGGTAATTTATATATTTTTAAAAAAATAAAAATCTTTTGCATATCTCCACATTATAGGAAACCAGTGCACTGAGTAAGCGGAGGCTTTCATTAGCTGGAATATCAGAAATCACTTTTAAAACTTCAAAAAGCACAATCCAGTGAAGAGTCTTGTAGGGTTAGCCTTGTTAGCATATGTACTTGAAAAATATGAATAGGCTTGTAAATTAATCAGTGAGTGGTATTTTAAGCTGCTAAGTGTATGGTAATTTGTTGTGCCACAGTAGCAAACTACTGAAAACAATTAGATTATTTATTATCCATGAGTCAAATGGAAATCACAATGGAAAATAGAAAATGTATAAATTGTTTATAATTGCAATTGGAATAATTTAAACTCAGTGAAGATACAAGCATTTCTGAAGTTTGAACTTTTGCTAGGGAAAAATTTAGAGCTATAAATGTTTATTAGAATAAAGGAAAAGCAGAAGGTTAGCAATATAAGCATTTTTCCAAGAGGTTAGAAAATAACAGTGAACTAATTCCAACAGTGAACTAATTCTGTGATCACAGAAAGAAAAAAAAAAAGTCACAAAGTTCATGAACTAGAATGCATACCAGAAAGAATCAAAAAGGCACTTCTTTGAAATGATATAAAGTAGGTAAAAGATCTAGATCTAGAAGAAGACATCAATGAAGATCTAGAATAAAGAGCCTGTGAACAACTTGGTTAGCTGAGCTGCTATATAAAAAATATCAGACTGTAAGCTTAAAAAACAAATTTGTTAGTTGCCAAAGCTGGGAAGTCGAAGATGCAGTTGTACAATAATTCCATTTCTAAATGAAGGCCCTCTTCTTGCTGAATCCTTATATGGTTGGGAGGGAGATCTGGTGTCTTTTCATTTTTATAAGAACAGAATCTCATGATGCTAGCTTTGCCCTTAGGACCACATTTAAACTGAATTCCCTCCCACCAAATCCTGCTCCAATTACTCATCACTTTGGAGGTTAGAGAGTCACTGTGAATTTAAGGGGAACACATTCAGTCTACAGCAAACTTTTAAGTCACTAGACTAGAAAATGTAGGTGAAATTAACATTCTTAGGCAAACATAACTATGGGAATTGTTTATTCATTAGAGATATTGAATCAAAAACCTTACCACAGAGGCAGTTGACCTACTAGTGATTTCTACAACACCATTAAAAGAGGAAATAACATTAGTCTTCAAAACTTTTCCAGAAAATACAAAAGGAATACAGTATAAGCAGTTAATAAAAATCTAACAAAAACTTTATAAGAAAATAAAATTACATACTAAATGTTCTCATTAACATAGAAGCAAAATTCTAAGACTTGCAATATCTTATTAAAAATTATGGATTGCAAACAAGGAAATACAATTTTATCACAATCAACATGTTTTTGATGAATTTGAAATTTTATAGTCCACTAGGATTCATGAATGAATTTCACAAGATTACAGAATACAGAACTGTATGAGTTTTGTATATCAATAATAAATAGAAAATGTAATTAAAAATGTCAGCTTACCATAACAACACTTATTTAGGAATAAATTTAACAAACTGCAAAATTACTCTATCTGGTAATAAAAAATATATCAAAAGATAAAAAGACCTCAGTAAGTGAGGAATATTTCATATTTGTATTAGAAGGTTTGCTATTTTGAAATGTCATTTCTGTCTAAACCTTGGGTGTTTTGGTATTTTAGAATGTCAGTGACAATTTAAAGATGCCAAATAAAGTTTGTGTTTTAGGACTGCTGAACTGTGGTATAAGATGAATGAAGAGTAGATTTTGAATTGCTTCATTTTATATTTTATTATTATTGATTAATATTCGATAGCTCGCAATTATATAAAGATATGATGAAACAAGAAAGGGAAAATAGGCACATTATGCTTTAAAAATCATTCTTAATATATTTTATAAATTGCTTGAATCATTGTGGTGCCAGTGCCAATATTGTATTAAATTACTCTGTATTTCTGTATTAACTTTCATAATTTGTTTTTTTGTGAGGAGTTTTGGAAAATATAACTCGAAATTTGTGAGACCATGACAAAGTCCAAATTTCTTTGAGCATTTAATTTCCCAAAGTAAAAGCTAGGATTAACTGTTTACAAAAGTTACGGCTTGTATAACAATTACATTCTGATCTGAAATTTTTTTGGGCTCTCTAATATCCAAAGCAAAGTGGAACCTCCATAATCTGGGTATACCAGGTAACCCACTTTATAGTTCACCATTGAACCAGAATTCCATGGTTTCCAGGTACTTATCTCTTGTCATAGGAAGTTTATGCCCAGATTCTTCTACCTCAGTGCATTGAATGAATTATTTTTTGTATATCTTTCTCTGTTACTACTTCCACCCATGCTTTTCTTGACTCCTAAGCAAAACATACTCACAGTGAGCTCCTCGCTCATTTTTATTATAAGTTTTTACCTGATGTTGTCGACCCATTTATCTCTGAAACAATATAGTACAAGATACTACAAGATCCAGATCATTTTTCTGTGTTCTTAATTACTTTCCTTAGCATTGTGTAGAATTATAGATATTTTAAATTTTGCAGAAGACTTTCAGATGAATGAACAGAGTTCTAAAGAAATGGAATGACTTTATGTACTTAGGTGTAAGGGTTCTAGATCCATAGTATTGTTTGCCCCCTCAATTCATTTAAATACCTGTATTTATTATGTTTAGATTTCGTGAAATTGTGGGGCACAAGAGAGTGAAGAATTGTTCACATTTTCTTACAGAACTTATTGCAAGGTAGTCACCATGTAGAAAACACATGAGCTATGAGAAAACCTTTATTTCAGCGTGCATGGGATTGAACACAGGAATTGTACTGTTGATGATAATTCAGCTAATAGATATTTTGAGATATTCAATGGGATGACTGAAACATTGGAACCTTAAACTGAATATTTTTTGATGTTCATTAAATATTAGATTGCTTTTCTCCTCATTTTAGTGTGGAGAATATCTAATTTCTAATTAGAAAGCCAAATTTCTTTAAATTTTAACCCTTGTTCTACTACTCATAACCCTGTGATCCTGGACAAATTACACATAATGCCCTGCACACAGGGATACTGTATAGTCTGAAAAGAGGTTCTGCTTGGTATATGACTTTCTATCAGTTTTCCTGAATATGTTACGTAGATTCAGAATAATATTATTCACAGTCTCATCAGGATGATTGGCTTTAATATACTTTATAAATTTTGAAACAATTTTTTGATAACTGATAGATGAGTAGTAGTAAGAGTCCAATTAATTGGTGACATTATTTCAAATGGTATGTTTTCCCAAGCTTTGCTTGAAGTATCACTAGTTGTTACTAGGTTTGTGGCTATATGGAGCATGTTCTGTAACATTTTCCGGGTAGAAGCAGCTGGGTCAAATAATAATCAAAATAGCTTTCAACCTCGGATTCCTATGTTTTCTTTATCCATGACAGGACATGATACTATGTAATGACTCCTTAAGTTGTACAAGATTGTCATTTATTAGTATTTTAGATATGTCTACTGTGGAGGAGGACTGTATATCTTTTGGAACAGGACATCCAGGCATTGCAAAGGTGAATATCATTATGTCATGCAGTTTATGTTTTTAACTCAGGTCATGTCAAATACACCTGTCAGACTTGAAGAAAACCTATTTGGCAATATACACCTGTTTTGGTAATAGTTAAAGAGGCAGGGACTTAGCTGTAGTGAATATAAAAAGAATGCCATGGCAAGTGCTCTACCTAACTAGGGCACTGTGGCACACAGGAGATACTGTATGGTCTGAAAAAAGGTACTGCTTGTATATGAATTTCTGTCAGATTTTGGGAGATTCCTCATAAATGTGGGAAGGTTGAATTGATAAACCAAATAACTCTCAATTTCATTCACTATTCCATTTCAGATGTATCCTAACATCTCTCTCTTTTTTTTTTTTTTGCTGTTGTTGCCTGTACATGTTCTGGTTACTTAAGTACAAAGTGTTTGCACATATATATATTGAAATGGATGGTAAAAAGAATTAAGGACATCTCAGGGTATAGTCCAAGTCACTCCATGTGACCTGAAGCCCATACTGCCCTGATCTTGTTCAAGAGTTAAGGAGAGAGTTAAGCTTGCCTTTCAGCATATTAGGTCTTTGTTCAGTGTTTTGTTTGAAACATATATTTTTTTAATTTCAGAAAAAATTTCACAACACATTTGTGTAGTTGTGGACACAAAAGAAAATGAAGAACATGTAGGTGGACTCCTTGAAAAAACACTGAAAAATGAATTAAATGTAAGTATTCGGAGACAGAATTTGATAAATTATATTTGACTGCCACAGGTTTTATTATAATAGAAAGATATCTTCCTTGAGAGGTATGAAACTTAATTTTCCTTTTCTCTTGAATGCTGGTATGTAATTATCTGTGCATCTGTGCTCACAATTCCTGCATGGAATTGCTGGATTATACAGTAATTATATGTTTAGCTTTTAAAACAATTTAGTTTAATTTTACTTATTACTATTGAGGTAACGTTGATTTACAGCACTGTATATGATTTAGGCGAATAGGCTGACATCCCTTTCAGAAGTGTATCATCACAGCACTCACTCCAGGCATGTATATCCCGCTAACATAAACTTTTGGACCCTTTTCTTTTATTCCCTTTTATCTCACCCAGCCTCTCCTTGTAGCTTCAGTTGTGAAGTCACATTTCTAGGGTTTGTTTTGGTTTTGTTCTGTCAATTTCTTTGTTTTGTTTCTCTGTATTCCACCTGTGAATGAAATCATCTGATATTTATCTTTCTACTGCTAACATATTTTGCTTAGCATCATACTTGTCAGCTTTACCTGTTTTGTTGCAAGTGCAAGGTTTCGTAATTTTAAAAACCTTTATAAAAATTTATTTATTTGTGCATGCAGAACTGGGGTACAAGTCAGAGATGCAGGGGCAGTAAGAGGTTTCACCAGAAACAGAGTGGGGAGCTGGACAGGCAGATCAACGAAGTACATTGCTAAGGGGAGCAGCAGGTGGGTCAGCTACACCATGCGGATCACCTCCTTGGCTGGGGATGGAGCTCCCACTGAAGTGGCTATGGTGAGCTTGCAGTACTGTGTCTTAATTCCTTGCACCAACAGGGAAGGTCCATGTTTCATACTTTTTTTTTTTTTTAAGATTTATTTATGCGTACAGAACTGGGGTATAGGACAGAGGTGCACGGGCGGTGAGAGGCTTCACCAGAGACAGAGTAGGGAGCAGAACAGGCAGATTGGCAAAGTACACTGCTGAGGGAAGCAGCGGGCAGGTCAGGATAGGTCTGCCGCGCCATGTGGTCACCTCCTAGGCAGGGATTGAACTCATGCTGAAGTGGCTTTAGCTTCTTAGTGCTGTGCTTTAACCCACTGTGTCACCAGAGAGGGCCGTTTCATAATTTTTTAATAGCTGAGTAGTGTTTCATTATGTGTGCATGTGTGCATACATAAGTGTATATATATATATATATATATATATATAATATGTATATGTATGTATACACACACTCACACACACACACATGCTCACATAAACACACCCCACATCTTAATCATTAAGCACTTAGGTTGTTTGATAAGTTGACTATTGCAAAATGTGCTGCCGTGAACAAAGGTGTGCATATATTCCTTTGGATTAGTATTTTTTCATTCTCCAGGTATATAACTGGCAGTAGAATTCCTGAATGATCTAATAGGTCTATTTTTAATTTTTTTGAGGAAAACCCCATGCTGTTTTCTGTAAAGACCGAACCACCATTCCCACCAACAGTGTACAAGGGTTTCTGGTCATTTTGATGTGGACCATGCATGTATGAATCGCAGTACTACTCTTGATATTATGAAGTAGGTAATTCTCTGCAAGGTGCTGTCCTGCACATTTCATGTTAATTACTGACTCACCTGGCCTATACCTACTAGGTGCCAGTGTCACTCCCAGCCTTTCTATATAGCAACACAATATGTCTTCAGACGCTGCTAGAAACTTCCGGGAGGGTGTCAAAATCATTTTCCAATGACATTGGTCTAATCCTACCATCTTTTACCTCCACTCTTGGTTTTATCTCTAAATTCAAACATAATTATATATACTTCCCCATGGGAACATCACTGGCATGAAAGTGCTGGATTGTTGTATCTGTAGCCATCTTCTTACGTTTTCCCTCTCTTTTCTACCACTCACCAATATTCTACCATATTTGAGTTCCTTCCATTAGAACAAAACAAACAAAACCTTCTCAACCCAGGTTACCCTTAAGCCAAACTACTTTAGAAGATAATCATTCTTCATCCACTGTATTTTTGACTTCGCCCCCAATCTTCTATAGGGGCTGCTTTCAGTGAAATGCCAATGATTCCCCCTATGAAAAATCTGTGAGAGACCTGTGAGTTCTTACCTTGGTTAATTTTATAGCATTCACTTTCTTGTCCTTAAAGGACTCTCATTCCATGGATTTTGTAACATCTTGTTTTTTGGATTATTATTTTTGTTTGTTTTGGCTTATTCTTCCAAATTTCCTTTGCTGGATTGTGTTTATAATTTTTTTAAGCTAACCATATGTAAGTGGATTTCTTTAAAAAAAAAAAAAAGCATACTGATGGATATATACATCCTCTATTTGATAGAGAAAAAAAAAATTTCTATAGTTCCTTCCATGTCTAGCTATTCTCTCTCTTGTGTTTTAAAGCTGTATATTCAATCAGAATTCTCTCAGAACAGGATATGTGAATATCAGCAATATGTAACTGTCACAAACCTTCATTCCAGCCAGACCCTCTTCATCTTCTACAGCTATAGTCTCTTCACAACACATTATTTACCTAACTACTAAAACCTAGTATAGCATTTGTCTCTTTTCCATATCTTACCCCCAGAGCCAAATTCCAGAATTGTTATATTCTGATTCTGTCCCTCAGAATAGCTCGTGTGTCCTCTCTGTTTGTCACCATTGTCACTATCTTATGTACCCCAATGCTTATTTGTATTAATGCAGACATCTGCTAACTAGCCTCCAGATTCCATTTTTTCTCTACTCATATATCTATCATATAGCAATTATATTGATTATTCTAAATTGTTTATCTTATATTACTCCCCACTCAAATTTTTATTGTTCCTAAATTAATATACAAATTTCTTTTCATGTCTGATATGACCCCTCACATAATAGCACTAATAAAAATAACAAAACCAGCAATAATATTAGCCATCAGTTTTTATCACCTGTTTTGTACCAGCATATGCTCTTAGCATCCTTCTGAAATAATTTCTTTTCTCCTTGTTTTTCAGATGAGATAAGTGGGATACAGGTGCTTGCTTAACTTCTTGGTTAACTTTGCTGTGAAGTGATAGAGTAGAGACATTAAGATGATCTTGCATTCAATATGATATTGATGTATTTCCTCTTAACTGGTACTCTTCTCAGGTGACTTCTAAATGTCAGAGACATTCACAACAGATAACTGCACCCCAATATTAAATAATGTATCAAAAGAATTTTTAAAATGACAGAACAAAACAAGTTAAAGTGTAAAATAACAAAGAGGATGAATATAACATAAAAACTAAAAAACAATAGCTTGAAAGAAAAATTAAAGCAAGCTTTTTTTTTTTTTAATTAGTGCAAAAATATGGGAGTGAAAAAATACAATCAATAATGCACAAATAGAAATACCCCAGCAGTGTGGGACCCTTCACCCTTCATGTGGTTCTTTTTTTTTTTTCCCTTCTGATTTTGAGTTGGAGTCTACCAACTCCTGCTGCTTTTTCCAGAATTGCCTATTATGCTAGCTAAAGAGAATTTTAGTTTTGACTCCTCTCCCCACTCCATAGCTTCTGTTTATCTCTATCCACTAATATTGGTTTGGTTTTGTGCTAGATTTTATTTATAAGTTTTTGATTTTGAAATCTATACATTGTATTTTTATGGGGGGGATATGCAGACATTCAATGAATAAGACAATCACTTTTCCACAATGATTTCTCCTTTATTTCCTATGTGCATTCTGGTTGGTATTTTCAATTTTTAAGCATCTAGCTATCTCTTAATTTCAAGAAGCTTATTTATAAGCATAAATAACAACTATAGAATTACAAAAATAGACTTGACTTGAAATTAAGAATTTGATTAATGTAACAAAGTCAAGAAATTTATACTTGTTCAAAAGACAGAAACCCCATGTTTCTTAAGTATTTGCTAATTGTAATATCCTCTTTTCCAGAGATATATTGGATTTATTTTTTTATTTATTTATTTTTTTTTAAGATTTTATTTATTTATTCGTACAGAACTGGGGTACAGGCCAGAGATGCGGAGGGTGAGAGGATTCACCAGAGACAGAGCGGGGAGCAGAACAGGCAGATCGAGGAAGTACACTGCTGAGGGGAGCAGCGGGCGGGTCAGGAGAGGTCTGCCATGCCATGTGGTCGCCTCCGGGGCAGGCGGGGATCGAACTCATGCGGAAGTGGCTTTAGTTTCTTAGTGTAGTGCTTTAACCCGCTGCGCCACCAGGGAGGGCCTGGATTTATTTTTTTAAAGCAAGAACTTAATTTGGAATATGTAAAACTGAACTTTGGATGTCCTCTTAAATTTACCCAGAGAATCTTAGCTGACCTTAGAAAAAGATGCCATTCATGCCTACTAAACCTTTCCTAACTTCTAAAATCACCTAAAAACTACAGAGTCACATAAGGACTTAATCAGAATGTTTTCACTCATGAAAAGCTACAACATTAACGATATGTAATGTTTTCTGTGTACAAGGGATATTGCTATGCACTTTAGCCCTTTGAAATAACGCTATGATTTTAAGAAGAGAAATAGGAAAACCTTGTAAATATTTGTCTAAAATCATATGATTAGGTGCAGTTAATTCAATGTTATTTTTCCTTTATGATATTCTTCTACAAAAAGGTGAAATAAAAGGAAGAAAAGTGAAATTTTTAAGTTTTATAGAATATTTAGACCTAAGATCAGAAAAAAGCTATCTATTTTGAAAAGAAAGTACCTAGTTTTATGTCAATTTTCTCTTTCTCCATAAAGGAAAAAAATATGTTCTGGTACTTTTTAGCTCAAAACTTATAGACAAATATAAAATGTCCTATATTCTCACATTTTTACTTCTCAGAACTTTCAACTCACTTTGAAAAGAACATGTGAAAAGGATGATGTCACTGCTATTTAAATCTAGGCACTGTAGGGCAGATCTGTGTGGGCGGGGAAGGTTCAGCACACAATGGGAGGATTGTTTTATTGGTGTG